GCAGGCGGAACCACTGCAAGGACAAGCTCCTGGGCAGGGCGATGTCGTCGTCGCCGTGTCAGGCTGGCTTTGTCGCTCTTTCCTGTGCTTTTTTAGGGATTTCTCTGTTGATAGGGTTACAGTCTTGATTCATAGAGAATGTTAAGGAGCCTGCTTAGTGAGGTGTACAGCTACTGAGTGGGGAAGATGGGGAGAGCAAGACAGCCGCAGAACAGAGTCCCGTCTGCCTTTGTCCGCAGCTGGAAAGTGCATCCAGATCCAAGAGGGCAAAGAGTCAGATAATCATAGCTAAAAACGTAATGATTCATTTGCCATCATTAATCACTGGAACCCTGGCTGCCTCTCCCCGTCGTCTCTTCCTAGATTTGAGGGATCAGGGTGTCTGCTCACAAGGGCTCAGAAAGGCCCATCATCGCTGGGGGTGAAGCAAGATCAAAAGTGTGTCTTTGAAAATAAGTGTGAGCTTATTCGTTTGCTTTTTTTTAAAGGTAATTTAAGTCTGACCTGAATTTGGGGCCTTCATTATGTGGTGGGTGTACGACGGATTATTTTGTGACTGCACTCTGTTCACATCACGGCACTAAGCAGCGCTCAGATGATTTGTTGGTGCATTGAAAGTTTTTGCAAAATGGACAAATCCATACCCAGGCACTTTATTTTCATTAATAATCCAGCGTTTTTGTTCAGACAATGTAATAACCCAAATGGTGGGCATTCACATTTTAACAGGTATGGGCAAATTTGCCAGAGGAATTCTTTGGATTTGGATAGAGAAGGGAGGCGGGTTGATGAAAGCGATCAAACGGGAGAGAACACCGCCGTGGTGGCCACGAACGGAGGCCCGTCCCGCCCACCCGGGTCCGGGCAGCGCGGGTGGCCAGGCTGTGCAGACGCGTGTTTACAGGTTCTACTGGTGCTGGTCGCTGCCCCTGGGCACGTGGCGGGAGGTCACAGAGCCGGCAGTGCGGGTGCAGGGGGAGCAGCGGGGGGGGGCGGGGCAGAAGAGGCCCACTCGCTTCTCCGTGAATCGCACCCAACGCCCCGGTGGCGCCGAGTGCCAGGGACTGCAGCTTTGTCTTGCTGTTTGTTGCGGGGGGTGGGGAGGTTGGGGGGGATGGGCTGGCACAGCAGCTGATAAAATGGAAAATGAGTTTGAGAGTCATGATCTGATCAGATACCATGGACCAGATGCCTTGGGACTGCCTGAAAGTCTTTAGCGTCCACCAAATACTTGAGTATCTGCGACGGGCTGTGTGGGGTCCCTGCCGGATGGCTTTGGGGCAGAGCGCCCTTCCCTGCCTTGGCCGTCGTGTGTCTTACTTAGTCTTTGTGTTTCCCTTTGGCGTCTCCTGGTCTCTGTCCCCATCTTGTACACCATGTATCCCTGAGGGGAGTCGCACCTGTGTCTGAGTCTGCTGTAAGGTGTTCAGTCTACCTCAAGGGGTCATCATGGTCAACTCTGTCCCATAGCAATCCTTCTGCCATCGCCACACACACTGGAATGTATATCTGCCCCTGGCCCCGGCCCTGCCTTCCCTGTCAGTAACCCCCTGACCCCAACTTTCCTGTAATCACCACAAACTCCTAGTGCAAATTGGATGCTGCTTTAAATGTGAAAACAATTGTTCAAAAGCTATAAAACCTGAATGAAAGCTAAAGCTGAATTTATAAGCCTTGTTGCATATGAGCCAAAAGTGCAAAAAGCTCTATATAATGAACTAACCTGCCACTCGTATAAATATAAATATATATAAATCTATTAAAATCAGACTGTTCTACAAAATTGTGTATTTGTATTTTTGTGTACGTACAATTTTCTGCTAAGCAGAAGGAGGATGTAGTATAGGATGCTGTGAGAAGAGATTTGGTTTAATCCTATTTCTTTGTTACTTATTTTTGTTAACATCAGATGCCTGTCTTTGTCTTCTATGTGTATGACACTGTTTGGAAAGCTGCAGTATCTCTCTTCCTTAGGTCCAGAGTCCGTTAGAGAATGAAATCTGGGGTTTAGAGAGTTGTCCAGGCCACCAAACATGGAGAAGTGGACAGAGCTTGGCCGCTCGCGGTCCTGAGGCAGCAGTGAGGCAGGGCACGGCCTCTGGGAAGCAGAATCCCGCTTCTAGAAAGCAACTTCCAAAATAAAAGATGGTCAGATCTCTCGAACATAAGACTCCACCGGGCCCATCAGGAGGAGATGCAGGACCTCTTATTCCTGGGCCAGAAGTCCGCCCAGGAAGCAGCAGGGGCCCTGCCTGGCTGTAGCGCCCAGCTCACTGGCTGTCCCCGGGCGCACATCCTTCTTCCGAGTAGTCGCTGCCTTTTTCGGATCAGGTTACCAAAATGCCTCCCCTCTGCTGAGCTGCTGGCGCTTCATCACCCAGACCTCCAGCCCCAGTTCCCTGGAGCATCTCAGAACCCACTTTCCCGGTGCTAACACACAAGAGGGGGGTAAAGTGGCTGCCAGTCGTGGCCAGAAACCAACGTCTGAGAGGCCAGGCCGGAAGACAAGCTCTGTGTGCCCAGGGTGGCCCCGGGCCCGGGCCCCACCCCTGCTGCCCACCCACCTCTCAGCCCCCCGCAGTCCCTCTTGGCATGAACCTTCTCTGGGGAGAGCGATACTGCACCTTCACCTGTGGGACTCATATTTATAACAATGTGTAATGACTGTAGCAAAAAGCCCTTGTTTCTAGATGTAAATGGTCAAAGAAACAAGTGCTCTATTGTATTGATTAAAATAGTTCAAATGAGTCCTGTATCATTGTATCTCCTATTCTGGATTAGTGCCTTTTGGACAGTAGACTGTTCTGTAATTAAAATGTAGTATACTGCTTTTTTGTACAGTTTTGTTTTAATAAAACTTTTTTTTAATTTGTGTTTATTTTAGTATTGTACCTATTAGAGAATAAAACGTATAACTGAACAAAGCCTGGCCGGGATTTCTTTGGGTAAGAACAGTCATTTGGGAAGTGCCCTGACACCAACGGGGGGGGGGGGGGGGGTTCTGTTTCAGACATCAGTCCCCTTGGTCTTCCCCGGGGACCCGAGGGGGCCTGGGCAGGGGTGGGGGACCATTACACACTATGTGGTTGAGAGGGAATGCCAGTCGCTCAGGAAAGCGTCCACCTCTGACCAGACTGCATTGGTGCTCTGCGTGGGTCCCTCCCACCCCAGAAGTGGCCGTTCCTTTCCTGCCCAGTGGTGCCCTCACGCAGGGGGAACCCCGGCCTCCCTCGCCTTCCTCCTTCCTTCCCACCATCTCCGCCCCCCCCCCCCCAGCCCCTGCGGTCCTAGCGGCTTCGGCACTGCTGGGACCAGGGCCTTTTACTTCCTCGTGCTGAGCAGTGAAACCACTGGGCCTTCACCTTTAGCAGTGAAACATGAAAGAAAGCTGAAGCCTCTTTGTGGTTCTTTAAAGACCTCCAACAGCTGGGGTCACATTCTCATCCAGAACTTGAGGACAAAGTGCCCAAGCCCCCGCTCCCCCAACAGATTCCGACTGACTCGCTTTACTCCTCCTCAGAGAAAGCCTGAGGAGCGAATGAATGGTCTTCTCTCCTTACCATACATAGAAGCAGCTATGCTTTTAAGTTGTCCCCAAACACTAAGGTGCCACCAAGGTGGAGGTGGACAGGAGATGGGGGTGGGGGGGTACCAAGAACCATCCTCACCTCATGCTCCCCCATGTAGGCCCAAACTGCTTCCTGCTCCCTTCACGCCCGGCTGAGCTCTTCCCCGCCTGCCCAGCAGAACCCCCTCCACCTCCTGTCCTCCGAGTCCTACAGACACACCAGCCCAGAGGCAACTTCCTCAACCCCTAGAGCCTCTGGGGCCCCTCCTGTGCCCTCTAGACCCGGCTGTGGGACTCGGCATTGCTTGTCTGCACTGCCCACCACACGAGGCCCAGGCGCAGGACGAGGGCGCAAGTGTTCACTGAGTGACCTACATGAAACATGCCCACGGAGGCCCATTTTCGGGTCCGAGCAACTGTAATAACTGCACAGCCTCAGGCAGACAAAGGCAGTCTCGAGTTGCAAGTAGCAACTTGAAAAATTAGTCTTTATCCTAGGAGCTAGATCACTTCTACATTCAGACTCCTGCCTCAGAGCAGGGCGGCTCCTGGCTGCCAAATTTCTGTCATAATTTGGCAGTGCTTACCCCTGAGAACAACTCTTTGGCACTTACGAGTATAAACAAGTCTTGTGTAGATGCGCCCTGCGTGGTGGCTGCCTCCAATCATCCCTCCGTCTTCAAGGACGTCTTACGTCAGATGAGGGCCAAGTGGTTCACTGACGCAGGGCTTCCCTGTGGAAACTGCACACCGGGCAGGTCTCGGGCCGCTCCGGGGCTGAGCTGTGCTCAGGGACCTCGAGGAGGACCCCACTGGCCACCTGAAGGGAGGTGGGCTGGGGCCACCCCTAGTGCTGGGCTACAGCTGGGAGCCGCGTCCACAGCCAGCAGGGTGTCACCCAGCCCCCCCAAGTGCCCACAACCACTGTCTCCTCCCCAAAATGCCTTGTCAGCGAACCATGAAGGGTCAGGCGCCCTGTGCGGCGCTGCAAGTCTGGTGTGGGGTGGATCTTGTAGATCAAGGCGGATAGTGGAGCCATGGCCTGAGAACGGGGACATCCTTGCTCCAGAGCAGCAGCCGGCCCCGCCACGCCACCCCCTCTGGGCCAGCTGTCTCCGTTCACACCTGGGTCTGAGGCCATCAGGAAGTCTCCTGTAGGAGGTCTCAGCCAAGGGGAGTAAGACTGGCCACAGAACCTGTGCGGCCTCCCTGGTTCTTTAGTCCAAACCACACAGAGCAGAAGGGCTGGAGGAGGCTGTGCTCGGGGCCTGCGGCTTCCCTCCACCCCTCTTCTGGTCTCACCTGGAAAAGCCTCGGCCCCGGGGCACCCCTCACCCTGTGGGACAGTCTAGAATGAGCCCAAACACCCCCGTGTCTGGGTGAGCGAGAGAAAAGCAAAGAGACCAACCTCAGACATAGGCAAGAAATCATCTCGTTTTATTTTTTTATTTTTTATTTTTTTCATCTCGTTTTATTTAGAGGCTGCTGGTCATGTGATGGAAAGGCATGTATGGTACAAAATTACAGAGGTTTAGTTCATTATATAATACAAATCATTCAGTCTTTACAATTCATTACAGAGTCTTTGGATTTTTTTAAACTCCCATTTCATGTGCAGCAAATCAAAGAGTCACCCAATCAAAACCACTTCTTTATGCGTGAACCCTCATATTTACAGAACTCGGCACATGGAGATCTTCCAAGACCCCTACCCCCCAACAAAATTTGTGTCAGCAGCCGGGCTGAAGGCACGATGGGCTTTTCTGAGAAAGAGACGCGTGGAGATAATCGAGCCAGGGTGTTGGGCGTGAAGGGCAGGCTGCGCTCGCAGTCCCCGGGGCAGGCACGACAGACGGGGGCCACCTTGGGGCACCACCTGTCCCAGATGCAGGCCTCGAGGCAGGCCTCAGGCAGGCGCGGCTAATCCGGGCCAGGGAAATGAACACCCTTAACTCCTGTGGGTCTCCTACAGGGACCTGGAGCCCAGAGGAGAAAGGGGAAGGGAAGTGGCGGGGCTCCCGTGGCGGGGCGCCCGGGACCTGTCAAACTCTCCCAGGGTCCCAATCTCGGCCCAGGGGAGGCTCAGGCGTCTCCGCAAACACGCAGGGCCCTTCACGGCTGCAGGCCGCGGCCCGGCAGGTGCCCCAGACCCGGCCACGCGGGCACACCGGGCAGCGGCTGCCCCTGGGGTGCCCTCGCCCGGGGCTCCTGGCGGGCCGGGGTGGGTAGCACATGGCCGGGGAGCGGACACCCACGTCCCGGGCCGGGGGGGGGGAGGGCAGGCCCGAGGGGGCACCGGGCGTCGGGGAGCCGCAGAGCCCCAGGCCTCAACCGGAGGGCACGGAGCGCCCCTTGGCTTCAGCCCGTTCCCGGGGGGGGGGGGAGGCGTCCAGCCCTGAACCTGTGACCATTCGAGGAGATGAAGCTCGGGCCCTGGGCGGGGGCGGCCTCACCCGGAGGCCGGTCCGGGAGCCGCCGGGCTGCGGGCGCCGCCACGTGTAATGAACGGAAGCTAATTAACGTCGGGCTCCTCCGGGGGACGTGGCAGGGCGGCCGCACACCTGGGGGTGTCCACGGCCCCACACGGCCCTACCGGGGGGGGGGGAACCTGGCAGGACTTTCGGGGGGGGGGGGGGGGGGGCTTCAAATCCCTAGAGACTTGGAGATTTTTCGTTTTTAAAAGTCCGAATGTGAGAACTAAAAACAGGCCCCCAAGAGTGCTGGGCACCAGTCCTGTCCCAGGGCCCTGCCCCCCCGCTCCCAGTGTCCTCTCGGCTCCTGCTCACAGCTTGGGACCACCAGGCGCTCGTGATGACACGCAGGCAGGTGGCTTAATGCTGGCACCGGGTCACCCGGCTACTGCTGGACAAGAGCCTGAGGCACTGGCTCTGCCGTGCAGGCTCCCCCGGCCCTGCCACCCGCCCAGCTCCTGTCCCCCCACAGAGCCACCCCCACCGTGGTCGGGGAGGCACCAGCCCCCTTCCCAGTGAGCCAGAGATACCCCAGCAGGAGGCAGGCAATGATCCTGGAGGTTTCATGCCGTTTGGGCCAGGTCTGTGGCTCAGCAGGGACCATGGGGAGCTCTGCGGAGCCACAGCCCCCAGGCTCAGGCAGGGAATCAGGGTAGAAAATTGCCAAGAAGTTAAACCAGTCTAAGGCCCTTCCAAGAAACCAAAATTGCACCAAATAAGGTCACAATGCTTCTGACTTCGTCATTGCAGAAGCACAATAACCTAATTCTCCAAGTTGTCATGGTCAGTTTAGGGTAAGGCCACTTGTGTATCTGTGTCAATAAGGACATAAGGAAGGGCCCCTCTGGGATTCCCCCCACCAGAGGCAGGAGGCTGGCAGCTCCCGAGTGACCTCAGAGGCTGGACACTAGAGCCCGGGCAGACGATTGTGGCTCGCGAGTGATTTCAGATTTGCAAAAAATAAATAGAAATAAATATATTCCAAGCACTCTGTTACGGGAATAAATGGCAAAGAGAAAACACTTCCCAGGTATAAAGACACTAACGCATCCACAAAGAAACCCCTAAGAAACCTTGTAGGAAGGCAGAGGGCAAGGCCCTGGGAGGGATCAGGCCCAGTGCCCCTTGCTGGGGTGCCCAGGACCTTGTGCCAGAAGCCCCAAGAGGCCAGCCAGAGGCACTTCTGAGAGCTTGTTATGTGGTGTGGGGACCTTGGGGTCCAGAAGGATGTAGTGAGCCTAAGGAGCAAGCCAGGACCAGGGGGGTTGGTGGAGATGCTGGCTCTGGAGGCACAGGGAGGATGCCCTGCCTCTGTGGGAAAGAAAGGCACTGGTACGGTTAAGAGGTTAATGGGGTCATCGAAACAGAAGAAAGGAATAGCAGCCCCAGGGGTGGAAAACCCAGGCCCGGGGCAAGAAGGGCCTCGCTCCCCCAATCCAGCACTGCTTTGGGCTCCTGGGATCTTCAACCCCTCTACCTTGCTGGGATGCCTCCCCATTCTCTGCATAGAGGAAGAAATGAAGCTTCCAGAGTCACGGGAGGGGCAGGGAGAGGTCACTAGCCCCATGTTATGCAGAAAGGACTCCTTGCCATGCTCCCCTGGAAGGGGGGTTTGAGGTATCCCTGCCCACTTGGTTCCCAGCTCCACCCCAGGGCTGGCACTGGCTGCCCCCCTCTGTCAGCCTTTGCCTGGGAAGCAGAGGGAAGCAGGCCGACAGTCCAGGAGGATGCAACCCGGGCCGGGAGGGGGGTGCTTAGCTGGCCCAGGATTTTCGGTTCTCAGGGTTCTTATGGCTCCTGTCCGCCCTAAGCGCTGTGGCGCCCTCTGCCTTGGCCAGAGCCGCCGTCAGGGAGGCCAGGTTGTTGGCGGAGCCGGAGAGGGTGCTGCTCCTGCGGGGCTCGGGGGCGCCCTGCAGCCGGAGCCCCGCGCTGCGCCGCCGCCCCGCACCCGCCGCTCTGCGCACCCGGCCTGGCCTCACCAGCAGCCCGTAGCCAGGGTTGCACTTGAAGTACTGCCTCCCTCCGATGGAGCCGTCATTTTTACCTGAAGGGAAAAGAGAAGACGACATAGAGATGCCTTCCCATGGCCCCTCACTCCAGGCCTCTGTGTGCCTGATGGCTCCCTGCACTGCTGAACACAGGAGGCTGGGGTGACCATCTCCAGGCAGCGCCTGGTGGTCCCCAAGGACATGCGCCCCCAGGCAGCCTCAGGTGCCAGGTCCATGTGCCAGACCTGCCATTTCCTATGCCCAGGTGCAGGCAAGTCATGAACATGGAGCTGGCACCAACCCTACCCCACCCTAGGGTACGGACCTTTTTCAACCTGACTGGTCAACATGTAAACCTAGGATGGATATCGTTGGTGGAATGATTATTTTTCCTGAATCTATTAAATGGAAACTGGCAAATGACCAAATTGTAGCTAGTAGATGTCATGCTTGATAAATCAAGATGCGGTGGAGAAGTTTCCTCTGTAAGAGCAACAGAAAATGCATTAAGGTGAAGAATGAGAACGCAGCGCTCAAGTCAGTAGACGGAGAGGATCCCTGAAGAAAGAGGCCCCCGACCCCTAAATGTCAACATGCTACAGGGATGGGTTGGTGGAAAACATGATCTCTGCAGCAAAAACAATCATGAATTTTCTGCACACCCTGACCTGCCCTTCCCCCACAAAACCTCCCTGCACACCCTGACCTGCCCTTCCCCCACAAAACCTCCTCTCTCCAACAACGAGGGTCCCCTCAGTGCACCTCTCAATGCACCTAACAGACCACCTATCTCACTATCTGGCCACCACTATCACTTGGCTCTCAGGGCACATCCCCCACCCCTGCCCACTGGCTCCCTGCTTCCGGGCTCCCCACCATCCTGCTTGCTCACCCCATTTCATTTTCTTCACAGCACTTATTACTATCAAAATTTAATTATTTATTTGGTTGTCTACTTGGCAATTTTCTCCAGTGGAAATTCAGTGAAACCAGGGGCTGTGTTTTGTCCCTCAAGGTATCCTTGGGATCCAAGATGGTGACCACAACATGGTAGGTGCTCAAAACGCATTTGCTAGATGAATTATCTATTTGTTAATCCCTCTTTAATTCTTGAGTTCACCTGTAGATATAAACTTCTCTCCTAATTCCCCTGCACATCTTAGCAGACTCTTCTTTAAAAAAATATCTAGTCTGTGCTACATGACTCTTCTTCTGACAGCACTTCCAACTTACAGCATTATTCACAATAGCCAAAAATTAGAAACAACCCACACATCCACCCACTGACAAATGGATGAACAAAAGGTGGGCCATCCACACAACAAAATATTATTTGGCCACAAAAAGGAATGAAGTGCTGACCCAGGTTGTAACCAGATAAACCTTGAGGAGTCATGCCAAGTGAAAAAACAAAAAAAACAAAAAAACAAAAAAAAACCCACATACTATACAATCCCCTTTACGTGAAAGTCCAGATTAAGACGTTTCATGTAAATTTAGAGGGATCAGAAACAGATTATTGGTTACCCAGGGTTTAGGAAAGGGAGTGCCTTGCAAATGGACTTATGGCTTTTGGGGGTGTTGTTGATGAACCTGTTCTAAAATTAGACTGTGGTAATGGTTGCACAACTCTATACTCAGAACCATTAGCCTGTACACTTTTAACAAGCAGACTTTACAGTATGTGAATAGGTATCATAATAAAGCTGTTTTTTTAAAGATTTTATTTATTTATTCATGAGAGACATAGAGAGAGAGAGAGAGAGAGAGAGAGAGAGAGAGAGAGGCAGAGACACAGGCAGAGGGAAGAGCAGGCTCCATGCAGGGAGCCTGATGTGGGCATCGCTCCCAAGGCTCCAGGATCAGGCCCCGGGCCAAAGGCAGGCGCTCAACTCCTGAGCCACTCAGGGATCCCCTCTTTTTATTTATTCATTTATTTTTAAGATTTATTTATTCATGAGAGACAGAGAGAGAGAGAGGCAGAGACAAAGGCAGAGAGAGAAGCAGGCTCCATGCAGGGAGCCTGAGGTAATAAAGCTGTTTTTTTTGTTTTTTTTTTTGTTTTTTTTTTTCAAAAAACACCTGTGGGTGCCTGGGTCGTTCAGTTGATTGTCTCATTTTGGCTCAAATCATGATCTCAGGGTCCTGAGATCCAGCTCCCTGTGGGGCCCCCCACTCAGGAGGGAGTCTGCTTCTCCTTATCCCTATGCCCCTCCCCCGTTCAAGCTTCCTGTCTCTCTCAGATACATACATACATACAAACAAACAAACATACATCTGAAGGACCAAGTATTTCCTTAAGTTGTGGCTCTGGCTTTCCAGAAAATGGGGATTGTAAGATGTGTGGTTCTGTAATGAGACTTAAGAGACTGGTGAGCCTGGGCACCTCAGATCACCCCACCTTCTGTTCTCCAGCCCAGGCATCCGAGTACCCCCACAGGCATCAGTGTTTGCAACCTGAGCACACACAGCACACAGAGCTACTGTTAAGATTGTTAGAGTTCAAAAGCAGATGCCTCTGAGACTTAAAAGCGGGGGAAAAAAAAGAGCCTTACATTCATTACTGTATTGATAGTAGCTTTCAATTAATGACTTAGGTCTCTGAAAAACGTCAGGAGATTAATAAACAAAGAGAACACAGTGGAAACTCTTATTCCTGATTTTGAAAAGCAGTGACCTGGAGGCTCGGGGAGGTCAAAGGACATGGCCCAGGCAGGGCGCACAGCAGCCCGGCGGTGCTGGGCCGGCCCTGACAAGCACCGCTCACCTGAAGGTAAGTCCAGCTCCACTCCGATCCACGTCCCCTCCTGGAAGTCGGTGGGCCCGACGTATCTCACGATGCCCACCTTGTTGGTGCCCACGGTGACGTACTCTCCCTCTCTGAGCCACTCGGGGACGTCGCCGGCCTCCTCGGAATCCGAGCACACCTCCAGCCTGCCCAGCGCTGCAGCCCCCGGCCCGGCGCCCGGCGCCCCTGCGGCCGGCAGGTCCTCCTCCGCGGCTGCGGCTGCGGCTGCGGCTGCGGCTGGGGCTGGGGCTGGGGGGCAGCCGGGGTCTCCGCCCAGCATGCGCGTGAACGACTTGAGCTCCGAGGTCCGCACCTTCTGGATGCGGAACGGGGACGCGGGGGCAGCGGGCGCCCACAGGAGGGCGGGGGGCCCCTGCGGTTTGCAGGCCTCGGGCTCCGCGGGGTCCTGGGGCCCCCCGAGGCGCTCGGGGGCGGCCGGGGACGCCTGGCCCGCGCCGTGCGGGCCGCGCGACCGCTTCGGGGGGGCCGCGGCGGGGAGAGGAGCCGGGGGGGCGCTCGCCTCCTCCTCCCGCTCCCCCGGGGTCACCGGCTCCGTGGCCTCGCCCGCGCCGCCGCCGCCGCCGCCGCCGCCCCGACCACCCTGCTCCGCGGGGCCCGGCGGCTCGGTGTCCGGGGTGGCCCGGCGCAGGGCAGGGGGCGGCGAGCCCGGGGTCTGCGCGCCATCCAGGCCGGCGGCGCAGGCGTCCGACAGGGTGGCGGAGGAGACGCTGTGGGAAAAGTACCCGCTGGAGGCCTCGCTCAGGGGGCTGGGCGGCCCGTCCTGCGCCTCGGGGGCCTGCGCGGGGGCCTGCGGGGCGCCCTGCGGGGTCGGTCGGTCCCAGAGCTTCAGGGGCGCCGCGCCTGTCCCCGCGCGCTCGCTCTCCCGGGGAGCCTGGCGCAAGAAAGGGCGCAGGAAGAACTGGTTAGGATTCCGAGTTTGCGGCCCGTTTCCAAAACAAGTGCCACAGATTTCTGTCAGCTGACACATTCCGGCGTTGAGGGTGAAAGAGACAGAGACGGCGGCGGTGCAGGGCGGAGCAGGCCTGCCCCGTCCCGCCGCCTCGGTCCCTGTGACCCCCGCTTCAGGCCCGCGAGGCAGGGGCGCCCCGCGCTCCGCACCCTGCACGCGCTCGGCGCTGAGAGCAAGCACTGCCCACCGCCGTGGGCCTGCCCCTTCCACCTCTTCACCCTTTATATACACTGAACAGTCTAACCGCTGCCTGTGATGGCCTGACTTAAACTAAGAAACCCACAGGTGGCCTTCACCCTGTTTCCGGCACAGAGCTCCTGAAACCCTTGGAGTTTCCTAAGTGGTAAGAGCAATAAAGGTGTCTTGATATTCCTAACAAGCCCCTTCCAACACCACCTGAGTTCCTGTTAATGAGGTGACTCTGGCACTGCACCTAAGGATGGAGGCTGGTTGCCAGGGGAACCAACCTAGTGATTAGAGCTTCAGCCCCACAGCCTCCATGGGGGGGGGGTGGGTGGCGGGAGGGGCTGGCAGTGATTTAATCACTAATTGCCAATGATTGAATCAATCATGCCTATGTAATAAGGCCTCCATAGAAACCCGTAAGGACAGACTTCTGTTGAACTGGAGGAAGTGTGGGTAGAGCATGGCACCCAGAGAGGCACTAAAAGTCCACACTTTCCCCCTACACCCTGCCCTATGCCTCTCTTTCATCTGGCTGTTCCCGAGCTGTATCCCTTGTAATAAACTGATGATCCAGTTTTACATCCAGTAAGTAAAATATCTCTCTTGAACTCTGTGAAGCATCCTACCAAGTTAATCAAACCCAAGTGGAGATCACTGGAACCTCTTATCCAGGGCTGGTTGGTCAGAAGCATAGATGACAACCTGGAATTGTGACTAGTATAAAAAGTGGGGGCAGTCTTGTGGGCCTGAGGCCTTCATCCATGGGATCTGACCCTATCTCTGGGTAGACAGTGTCCAAATTGAGTTGAATCATAGAACACTCAGCTGGTGTGGGACAAGGACTTGGAGGTGGGAAGAATGCACACTCAATGGCCACGTAGGGTCAGTGGGGCCTGACAAGGCATGAAAAGGCCCTGGCCACAGGGCGCAGTGCACAGTAGGTGTACACTAAATCTTCAAGTCCCTCCTTACCCACCAAGCACTCCCAGCCTTGCTGCACTCAGCAAGGAGTGGAAACAGACCCCTGCCCACCATGGGCTGCCCAGAAAACTGAGAGAATCACTAAAGGCCAGAAGAGCACTTTCTCCTGTGAAGCTGGAATGAGGATCTCCTTGGAGGATGTACAAGTGACTTAGCACAGCTTTACCAGCACAGCCTGACTCACAGCTCCTGGCTGGGAGTCAGGTGGAAAAAGAGGAGACAGACTGCCTGCAGGCCAGTCCCATGGCATGGGGTGGGGACCCTCCCTCCTCCTCCAGGGAGACACAGGCCAAGCAGCAGCCTGCCCCACAGTAAAGAGGGGCTGAGTATGGTGGAGCCGCAGAGGCCGGCCTCTGTACCATTCATCTGAGTCACTCTAGCAGAAACACATGCACAGCCCATCTCATGGGGAATGATGGGAGCCACTGCTTGTCCACCACTGTTTCTGAGGTACTGCTAAGGTGTTCCTTCGTTGATAATTGAAGCCATTTGAAGAACGGAGCAGATTATCTTTCTATTCCCAATTCACAATGACAGGGGCAAGGGAGAGGAAGGCAGGAACCGGGAACAGGGTTGGTGTACTGGAGAAGGGTGCTGTTCAGAAAAAGAAATATGTTTTCCAATATTTACGGAAAGATTATTTATATTACAGGAATGGCCATTTTCCATTTGAAATACAGGATTTATTTGAACTGGGAAACAGCTGAGATCTATAAGTCTCTTACAGTTACTTGGCTTAACTCAGCAGTTTGATAAATCATGCATTTTCACGTGAATTGTCATTTATATTCCTGTCTCCAGAGGCTCTCCTTTCCCCACAAGGCACACTTTGAGGGTACAAAATTAACGGCACCTCTTGAGATTAACAGCCCATTTTTGTGATGGATCTCTAGGCTGCAAAATTTACTAAATCCAATAGATCAATAACTGTCACCAGCATAAATACTCTAAAAGATTAGGCAATCCTTCAATCATTTTTCTTTTGCAACTTGTACATGTTTTATTTATTCTTTTCTATTTTATTTTTAATATCACTGACCAGGCAGGGAAGACTATACAAACAAAATCACAAGAGCCTAGATTCAGAACAGGAACTTTGGTTCTGGAATCGTGAGTGTTCCCTCTTCCCCTGGTGGGTAATACCCCATCAGTACCACATGGACAGCTGTCTGCTAAGGGCCAGCTACGTCCTGTCCTGAGGATCTGACAGTCTAGCAACAGTGCCTTAGATGTCCCTGGTCATTATCCCATTTGCTTCCACATGAATCCTTTAATGTAGGCCAGGAAGCATTACCGTATGCATTTTATAACATGGCCCAGACAGGTTAAAGGATTTATCCAAAGCTTCCAGTAAGTGACAACCAGGGATCAGAGGTCAGATCCACAGTGACAACAGAGACCAAAGGTGGCAGAAGGCAGCCCTGATTGCACCATTCTTTCCTGCTGAGCCCAAGTGCAGCCTCAGATTCCTTCCGTGAAAGCACGGCGGGAAACCGCTCCCACTTGACTGGAGTTGATATGTGAGTGGAAACTTATTCCCCATCTTTGGGTTATTCCCTTACCACTGACACTTCTGGAGACTGCCATGAAAGCCCAGCCTTGCGAAAACCAAGACAAACAGCAGAGCTGCCCTGAGCTGCAGAGGCCCTGGTAGGTCTGGCGCCCTCGCCAGCAAGAGACTTGGTCTCCCTCTGTCCCATTGGCCTTGGGGCCCCAGTCTTGCCTCAGCACACTAATAAACACCACTCGTGGGGGAAGAAGGGAGGCCACAGGAACACCTAATATGTCCTAGATTGAAAAGGGCCTTTTAGAAAGGGCTGAATCTGTGGAGGTCTGAATTCCCTTCCAAATTATTTGCACTTTTTTTTGCCGTTGTTTTAATAAATAAAATTTTCCGATGAAGATACAGCATTTCCTAAGAGAATGAACACACAGTGGGAGAAAATAGATTTGCTATTCATAAGATGAGAAGTGCTGTTCATCTGTGGGAGATCATAAGAGACTATTTTCTCCCCAGCTTAGCATTAGTCTTTTCACGCTGATATCATGAATCAGAATGAAATGTAAAACTGAGAATTAAGCAAACACTTGGAATAAGGAGATTGTTCTGTTTATAGAAATCGCCTTTGCCTAGCAGTGGGCTATTAAAGCAGCAGACTACATTAGCAGTCAAGCACCTAAAAGTTTAGCAATCATATGATTAACAAGTTGAAAATAGAAAAGTGGAACAAGGAAAATATAGAGGGAGAAGACAGTGACCTATATTATAACTAATTATCAAAACGGGAACGCTAAAATGAAAAACCCACGGGTGTGGACTCAATAGTTACGGCATCGGGGCCACCCACCACATGTGGGGCGGCCGCCAGCAAAGGCGTCACCCCCCCACCCGCCAGACTCACCTCCACCACTCTGGTTGTCCCGGCATCCGAGAAGGCAGACTGCACCATGATTCGGGGCACGGGCTGAGAAAACAAGTGAATAGACGGGTGTGAGGGATCAAGAGAAGGAGAACCGAAATAACCAGAGAAGGTTTTCACTGAATAGACAGACTGGAGAACCTGTCAGGAGGACCCACTTGAAGTGAACTTTTACAACTTTCGGGAATTCTCACATGTCGCTGCCAAGTAGGCATGCCAAGGGCTAGGGGTGCCACAGGTAAGCAGCTTACCCCCAGTGAGCAACACAGGGCACGTGCTGCAAACAATAACACTCATGGCATGACATTCTCACACACGCACAGGCTCTCTCCACTCACAGCGCACGTTCATCAAGGGCTGTTCTGCACATATAAGTGTCACAGGATGCTAGAGAGAAATGACTGGAACAGGGAAGATCGGGAAAGGCTTCAGGCAGGAAGTAGAACAGAAACCAAGCCCTGATGGCCAGGGAGAGCTGGTGCCCAAGCAGACCGGTGAGTGTAGTCACAGGAAGTGAGGAGTCCCACCATGCTGAGACTTCACATCTCCCCTTACATTTCCCAACACCATCAGTCACCCCCAATGACCACTTCTTCACCAAGCAACATATCTGCCTCATATCTGCCAGTCTGGCTACAGCCTACTTTTGGGGCATAATACAGAGCAGGATATATTGATGGAGGCTTTGGTATTCTAATCAGGTAACAATGAGGACCACCAGAGATGCCTGAATGAAGAAAGCAGGAGCTTAAGAAGATGGATCTGCTGGTAGAGGGCAAACTGGAGAAATATTTAAAGGCCAAGGTAGGCAGATCACTGATAAGATTCCAGCAACAGAGCAGATGTGAGGGGATAAGGGCCTGAATTACTGGGTGTGTAAGCAGCAGTACAAGAAAGGGCTTCAGTACTTACGGACATGTGGTTCAAGGAACAACAACAACGACAAAAAAAAAAAAAGTAAAAAAATAAATAGCACCAGGATAAGGACATGTCAGAAGAAACAGCTGGTATCTTCGAAGGAGAAGAAATCAGACATTCTTTTAGAGCTGCTGGGTTTACAATGGCATAGGGACACAGAAAGAGACATGATTCTCTCAAAGAAACCAGGAGTCCACTACTTCTGCCTTTATTCCATCAACCAGATCTCCCCGTTCCAGCACCAGAGTCTGGATCTCGCCTCAGAATGCTCAGCTCCCAGAGAGCTCCATCCTGGCAAACTTAGGTGTCGCAGTTTGTTTCCATGCAGCGGGAGCGTCTTTTCTCTTGTTGGATCCAAAGGTAAAAGAGTAGCTAACCACCTAACCACTCATCTCTTACCTAACCTAAACTGCCTAAAGAAGATTTCATATCCTTGCATTTCCCTTCTCCTGGCCCTCAGTACTCCAGGTCCTCCCAGTTCCCATGATGTATCCGGGTGCCTGAGGCTTCTATGCCATGAAGATGCTCTGGACGGTCTGCAGGCACTAAGGCTGGAAGGCCAGAGTCCGGTGTCCTACTGAGCAGCCCAGACTCTTACCTGAAGGGACAAGAGCCCACCTGGAACAAGATGGTTCACTTAGGAGGTTAATCTGAGTTCACACCACCAAATAACTGAGTTTTATTAGCAAAGGGCACCACTACCACCAATGATGCCTTGTGACTGCCTTTGGGAGAAAAGAGCTAGAAGAAATTAATTCTGCTGAATTGGGAACGGCACTGGGATGTGAAAAAAGGCACAGAGGACAGGCAATCAAGTAGGAAATGGTAAGAGATATGACTAAAGAGATGGAAAGACCTAGGGATAGACTAAAGCAATGTATGCTATAGCCTGCAAACACTGGGGAGTTACTAGGGGCTGAGGACAAGGGAGAGGTAAGGTAAGAGGTAGGGTTAAGAAACACAATGTGAGGGGCCAATGGAAGAGAACTGAGGTGGGGGCAAGGCCACTGCACATGACGAGGGCCTGAAGCACATGACCTTCCAGCCTCTCCCTGGATCCCTGGACCAGGAAAATCCCTCCTTTCAACTCCCATGACGCATCGCTCCTCCCCTCTCTCACAGAACCTACAGGAAGCTCTGCTTCTCCACTCTGCTGGCAACCTGGTAGGCAGCGACAGTGGAGTTATTTTCAAGCAAGTATCCTTCACTCCACCTTACAAAGTCCTTGAATACAGGGGCCACCATGTTTCTTTTTATATTTACTTTCTCTCATCGTATCTGAAGTCCCCCACAAATGCAAAAGTGTTCACAGCATATTTCCTCGTAAAGGCAGAAAAAACATTTCGTAAGCTCAAACTCCAAAATACTTTACACTCTTCAGTTAGACTTCATTAAGGCGGACAAGACTGCAATAAAACATTCCTCCTTAAAGCATAAATATGTAAAATCCCACCAAAGGTGGAACATAACCACCCAGGATGAAGCCTCTTCTAAGATGATATGGCTCCTACCCTCCTGAACAGAGCGTAGAAACATAACTTACGCTTTTCTCTAGGACTCAGGGGAATTAGAAAACTCCACTAAATGGTTAAAAAAAAAAAATCTGACATGAATGAAGGGACAAGCCTGCCTGTGACACCATATCATCCACGGACACACAGGCTTCCTGGTACCCAGGACCCCATGTCATGGCTCCAGGCCACCATGCTGAGACATCACATCTGCCCTTACATTTCCCAACACCATCAGTCACCCCCAATGATCACTTCTTCACCAAGCACTTCTTCACCAACACAACTTCACCATCTGCCTCATCAACAGGCCCACCCCAAGCCTACTATTCAGAGGAAGGGAGAAGCAGGACACAGGATGATGACACATGTGTGAAGTGGCTAAAAATAGTGCCAAAAATAAGATGGGATGGTGTCTGAGTGGATCCTGAGTGTACTGTCAAGTACTTTGAGCACACCTACTTCTCTGGTTCACCTGCTGGTAACTTCGTGGGGCTCCCTCTGTGGGAAGCAAAGTGATGGTGGCTACCAAACCAGCACTGGCCAAATAAGCATCATATAGATACTTCTCCAATGGAGGACTTTGAATGAAAGGTTCATGCTGAAAAGGATGGGGTACAGGCATATAAAATTGGCTTTTGATTTTTACTGAAGCTAGGTGACAAGCACAGATGGCTTCACTAGTATTCTATGCATTTCAAATTTGTCCATAAGACTGTCCTACGTGGGGGTACCTGGGTGGCTCAGTGGTTGAGCCTCTGCCTTTGGCTCAGGTGGTGATCCCGGAGTGCTGGGACTGAGTGCCACATCAGTCTCCCCACAGGAAGCCTGCTTCTCCCTCTGCCTATGTCTCTGCTCTCTCTGTGTGTGTCTCTCATTAATCAATAAATAAAATCTTTAAAAAAAAAAAAAAGACTGTCCTACATGAAGAAGATAACTGGGACTCTGAATCAATGTACAAATTCAGTTCAACAAAGACTCAGGTCCCACAGGGTACAAGGCATTCCAACAAGTGCTGTGAAGAACACAAAGATCACAAAATCACAGGCCTAGCTCTCAGCAGACTGGCAAGGACACATATGAAAATAACTGAAACACTGAGGAAACTGATAGATATTAGAGTGACAGCTTCAAACGCAGAGAAGTTTCAGAGGAGGAAGGGATGATAAATGAAGCAGGCCTAGAATACCCTCATGGGGGCGATTTCACTTTGAGACAGGCCCTGAAGACTGAACGGCTTTTCCAGGGGCAGAAGGCCACTTCGAACATGAGTAATGACACGGCGGAGGCAGGGTGTTTTGTGGGCCTGATGCGTTCCGTCTACCGCCACCTCTGCCCCAAGAAAGGCTACTCAATCTTCCAGGAGGTCTTGGGGAAGAGAGAATGATCTAGAGCGACCTGCACAGGGCGGAGGGAAGCAGGTTAGGGCCACGTGCAGGAGACCTCATGAGCTTTTATGGTTTTCACCCTCAGTAATGAGCTATCAAAGGTAAATGAATGAGCGGTGATAAGGGTTGTGCTTAGAGGAGATTCACCCCTAAAAATGGGGGAGATATGAACGAAACAGGGAAAGATCAATTAAGAAGTTGCTTCAGTGGTTTGGTGGAGAGCTAATTAGAGCCTGAACTTAGATGATAAAAGGAAAAGGAAATGAAAACCTAGATATGAGAAGATGACTGAACACTTGGAAACAACTGGCTGGGGAGGCTGGGGAAACAAAGATGATGCCCAGGAAGGATGAGTGACCAGAGGGAGGGTCACAGTGGTATCAGGAGAACCCGGATGCATGTGTGTGTGTGCACCTGTGCATGTGCCTATGCGCCAGGGTGTGGGGACCCTGCCTTCTGTGTTTACCAATGGCCTGTGATGAATTCAGGAATTTCATTAAGGAGACCAAAAATACCTACAAAGTGTACTGAAATCTTAAGTGTGCCATTTGTCCTTCACACCTAAGAACTCAAATTTCCAAATGTGTATTGTTTGCATTTTAATGCTCTTTTACATATCCCCTGTGCAGGCAGTTGCCTCCTATTTCAGGAGCTCAAAACATTTCAGATCATAAGTTCATTAATCCTTACGACACATCTGGCAACTATTAATAAAAATGACTGCAAAGTATTTTGCAGCTATAAATATTAAGGAGAAGTCCCACGAGGCAAGCGAATATAAGTGTAATTATCCACATCTCACACTACAGAAAGCAAGGCTCAGAGACAGTCACCTAATGGTTACAGGCATCCAGGCTGCCCAGTGAGTCAGTGACAGAGATGGAAAAGGACCAACTTCTCAAGCATCAGCTGAACCTGCAATCATGCTGTCTGCCGAGCATCACTAGAGCTAGGCAGATGAGTAGGTTACAAGAAGAGAACTGCTTAGAAGTATTTCAGGGAGAAGATGAGGGTCATTCTTGTATCACAGCCTGTCATTTTTTTTTTAAGATTTTATTTACTTATTCATGAGAGACACAGAGAGAGAGGCAGAGACACAGGCAGAGGGAGAAGCAGGCTCCATGCAGGGAGCCTGATACAGGACTCGATCCCAGGACCCCAGGATCATGACCTGAGCCAAAGGCAGGCAGTCAACCACAGAGCCACCCAGGTGCCCCACAGCCTGTCA